TTAGTGAAAAAACGTTTTAATTTAGAAAAGATTTTAACGAAGATTTATATTTTGTAAAAATTCATTAATCTAAGACTTCGAGCCACATTTACTTTAACTCATCTTTTTCCTGCCAAAAAACAAGACGAACATTCCTGATTGATTTCCAATTTATTTGTCGCGGATATGGCCTCTATTTTGACGTCAGCGTGGTTCAATAAATAATCTTCTCTGCCAAGTTATAGAAGGATTGCTGAGTGATCGGGATGAATCCTGGATTAAAGAGCAGAGAGGAAATATACCAGGTGTGCCGTCCATGGTCGTGCAAAAGTCCAACGAAATATCGCCCCGAGAGTCTCGTAAAAATTAAGCTCTCCGGGGTGTCGTCGCCCGTCGTCGTGGATCGTCGCAGATCGGATGATGCACGACATGCTATGATCTCCGTTTAATTTACCAGATACGTAGCTCTTCGAAGTAAATTGGACTAAATTATCGGCGATGTCATTAAACGTTACGCGAACATTACCATACTCACCGCATCGTCATCTAAATGCGACGTTTAATTATTATTACGCGTCAGTAGCATTACACATAATTTGAAAGGAGGACATTGTGATCCTTCCTTAACCGCATTCTATTAAATCTAAAATATTAATGTAATAACACTCCAATTAACATTAATCATTTTTTATTATATTAATATCAAACAGAATGATATATAACAATGTTAAGAGTGTAATGTAATTTTAATCACACTCTTCAATTTTACGAAAACTATTTGATGAAGCATTGGGAAATTTGAGATTATTCACATAAAGTGGCATAATTACGAAATGTAGATTCAAGTCGCGTTTCAAGCAATTCGGTACGAATTCTGATGTATAAATGTAGAATAATTTACCGTAATTTACGTAATTTATTTCTACCTTTCGCAATATAAAACGTAATTATGAAATTTGTATAAATATATAATACATCGATGAGATATCTAAAATTACGATTTCATAAATAACGAGCAGGATTTTAAAGGAAATGACGTACTTGAAGAAAATGAATTGGAAACGAATAGCAACATCGAGGAAAGCAATTCGCACGCTCTCGTGCATCGACTTTGATGCGGATTTAATTAATCTACGCCCGAAGCTTAGTCCGTGCGCGCGCAGCGTCAAACGAGCTTAACACAAGGGGCTTTCTGCGAGGCGTTTTCCATGCGAAAATCCTACAGTGATATCTCTTCAACGTACCCCCTTTCCATTCCGAGCCTCTCCCAAGACTGTCTGAAAAGGAAAAAGATATTTAAAAAATGAGAGGATATAGGGAGATCAAAAAGAGGAGCAGAGCGACCAGAGAACCAGAGAGTGAAATGCCACGGTGCGGCGTCGAAAATAAAAGGACGATACGAGAGAGTGTGCACCAAAATAGACAAGATAAAAAAAAAGGAAGAAAGAGACGGCGCGGGCATCGATTGATTGGCACGCTGACGTGCCTGGCCACGATGGATGACGCTTTATTTTCCACGGGTACACTCCGATTATAGATTGAATAGCGGCCATAAATCCTCGTGAATACTTTACAGGTACGTTCCGGCAGGTGGAACGGCGGGTGGAGGGGGAAAATTTCATCGTAGTGTTGCGCCATCACAAGAGAGGAAGGAGATAGCTAGAAAGTGAGAGAGGCAAAGAGGATACAGCCGGAAGATGAGGGCAAAAAAGGAGGAAGGTTCGCTCTTGGACCAGCCGCGCAGAGGTGTTGGCGGGAGGATGTTACGGTGGATGCCCCAAAATTGAATTTGCCGGAACGCGGGAACGTTTGATTAAGTGCCTCCGTCGGGCAACCGTGCGTTATCATACATACACATCCGATGACGCTGTCCGTCTCGATTTTTGATCGTTCTCCGCGATGATCTATCTGACGATCCCGCTGGTCATTACTGTTACTTACGAAAACGCTTAGAATTCGCTTAGAATTCTGCCTCCCTACGATCGCGTTTTCCTTTAACGCTGGATTTTCCTTAATACGAGACGAAAATCCCCGGGATTGTTTCGGGGATTTTTGTCGAAATGCGCATACAGCCGGCATTTTGTGCGTTTCGACAACACCGTAATAGTCTTCGCTAAGCTCGCAATAAGCTGCGGACATCGCGAAAAGACAGAAATTTCTTACGAATGAATATAAACAAGGTAGTTATATCTAATCAGTGCATTTTTATCTATCTATTACTAATATAAATTAATTTTAATCTTAGTTTAACTTACTTTATATATTCTTTACTTGTTCTAAAAATTATATAAAAGAATAGAGTAAATGAAACCGACATTGTTGGAAATGGATATTAATTGTAAAAATTCGACGGTAGATTAACGAGCTCGTTTATGGCTTGTCGGTGCTGAGACCGCACAAATTGCGCAAGAATTCCTCGTTTAAACAATTTTTTGCAGGGCTCGAGTCGGTTCTAGCATTGCTTGTAAAAAAAAAGAACGATACGAAATACTACATACCGTGAAATCCGCGTTGAATATTTCACGGTTCGATAGATATACGCATATTTCTCTTTCTAGCGAATATCGTGCGGCGAACCGGGAGATGTTTCGAGGGAGAAAAGGCCGCGTCAGAGTGGCTGGTGTACGCTCTCATATATACATACGTATCGTTAAACACAGGACTCGCAGTGTCGAGTAAACCCGGAGATCCTTCAGCCGATATCGAACAGCAATATTCTACCTAGTTGTGAACAGCGTATTTCGAAAACACTGGAGCACTGACTTTTTAAATTAAAAGAATCGATAAAATATCGATATATACATCATAACGGTTGCCGAAAATTACTCAGGATGGACAAACAGAAGCCGAGGCGTTTTACCTGAGGCTGTATAATTTACGAAAAACCGTTAATAGAGAGCGGCGAATTGAACGAGGTAAAGACTGAGAGAAATGCGATTTGCAGCGATTTAGAAGAGTAAGGAAGAAAGAGAGGAGAGAGCGAATGCCACCAACATCATTGATAAAATACCGGATACATTCGACGTATGCGCGTAACTTCCAAAATAATGAAAAAAGCAAGAGAAATATTCTAGCCGGTTTATCCGACTTCGCTTCGATTTCACGAGAGCGAATATTCCGCGAAAAATATCGCTGCGTTTAATCCGCGAACGATCATAGCTACACATCGGTATAGCTGATACCGAGCACGTATTCCGTTCCAGGTACGCTGAATTTGTTCCAAATATAAAGAAGAAAAGTGGAAGGTCAGTTACGGTTAAATGCATAACTCAAGTGACATAAATATCTTTGATATCCAAGCGGTGTCCAACTGCTCGTTGCTCTCGTGAAATCTTAATAAGGTTACGTACGACTTATGAAGGCAATCCGAAAACTTTACATTATACACTTGAACAGCGTCATAAATAATATGTTAGGTCATCACACAGATAGCAAACGAATTTCTCAAAAAGTTAGCTCGCTGATTCGACATTTTAATGATTAAATAAATTCATGAATTAATTTTCAATTACCTACTTTTTATTACGTTAAGATTGATCTTTTCTAATATAATAAAGGAAAAACAAAGGAAAAAAAAATAATACAATTTAATTTCTTATGTAGCTATATGTATTAAATAATTAAAAAAAGAATATATTATAATAATTATAATATATTATTATATAATAATAATTAAGTACAAAAAATATATATTATTTTTAATTACATAGGAGGAAGTCGCCTATATCGTTCCCCCTAACTTTAAACAAAATTGTAACAAAAAGTACTGAAGAGATCAGAATATTTCTATACTTACATTAAACTTTGGTTCATTGGCAATAAAACAAAACGATACTTTTGCAAAAATAAACATTAAATTATTGTTTAAATTAGATTTGATAAAAATAGTAGCTTTCAGTACAACTTTGAGACCTGGTCGTTAAATTGTACCACCTGGTTCCTAAATCGTACTTCTAACCTAGTGAACTGACATTGCTTATTGTCATTTTGACATTAAAATAACATCTTTAACGTCAAAATGACGGTAAATAACGTCAGTTTGTGCATTAGACCCTGCATACACAGACTGCATTCCGTTATTCACTGCGTTCTATAACCCATAACATGAAATCAAGTGCGAAAAAATGTTAAGAGATTGCGTATTCGTACCTGTAATACTGTTGAAAGCCAATAAAAATCAGTATATTAAAAAAATCTTGTTCTTTGAAGTTCTTATATTCTTCAGTTATAAGTCTTTTAATAATTATTTACGTCCGATACTAATACCTAATTTATAAATATAACCTATCAATGCGTATAAGCTGCAAGGAGATTATGGGTCTGAGCACATGATTGCTGTAACATTAAGACAAACTTAAGTTGTAGACGTAAGCAACGCATAAGCTTTGACGTATGACGTTGGAATTAATAGACATCGCTATGTCTCTTGATAGCGTACTGCCACGTGTTATATAAGCAAAAGTAAATAATCTAATCGTTTGTAAGTCAAAAATAATTTTGTTAATTGTCCTGAAAGTCTTAATGTATTACGGCAATCCTGTGCTCAGATCTTATGAGAGCTCGCGTTACTTGCGAAAATCATACCGGTACAATATAAAGGCCAGCGACAAGTACGATTTTCCTAACTCCCTCTATTTTTCCAAATTTGCCAATAGCATATCATAACTTACAAATATTTTACTAATTTGATGCTGTATTCGAAAAGAGTTTAAATATCAATTATAACCCTGAATTATACTATAATTCAATTATACCCATTTTGTGCTGATAACACCTTAGATAAATTGTACCAAAATTTAGATCAGACACCGAACAAAATCAATTTTGAATGTCGTTCGTCGAACATACGATTCGAAGACAAGACAAAAATGATACCAAAATTAATTGGAGAGAATAACAAGCAATAGGAAACAAAAGTTAATATACTTTATTTTTTAATATCTTATTTTTACACAACGCTGCTATGTTCACTATTTTGTTTTTGGAATTAGTATTTATACAAATTTTCCCTTCTATTGCAGTTCCACCAGAGCAACCAACCATTTTGGATCGATGGGGCCGCATCTTGAACGGCACAGCTGGTCCTTATGAGGAAGGCGATACACCCTATCTCACGTGTCGCGTCACGGGCGGTAAGCTAGCAGAAAATATAGTAATATAATATGTATACGCTGAGAAACGTTTATCTGCCTTCACTAACCGTGTTGCGACACATCTACACTTGTCTATACATGAGATGTTCCAATAAGTTAATTTTGTAGGTTTTTCGATTAATTTAAAATCGACTTTTCTTGAAAAATATAAAAGAAAAACGATTAGTTTTTAAATTATGATTAAGACAAGTTTGTGCGACCGATGTTTGATATACCCGCTGAAAGAGATAATATACGCGATTCCGAGGAAACCTTCCGAGAATAAATCAGCAAGTTTCCACCACCGCGCACATGCTCCATCTCTTTCCCTCTTTCTTTCTGACGTCATTGGGAATAAAATTCTTTCCTGTTCCATCCCGAAAATTCACGGTGAAGTAAGATCTCTCCTTTTTCCATCGAATCTTACCTAGGTCACACGCGGCGCATTTTTGAGAGTCGTCGCTCGCGACAACCTCACCGCGAAATCGTTTGGGAAACTTCGATCGTGGTCGGAGTCGCTGGTGTGTCGCCGGTTATTAGATCAGCCAACTTTTCATCGGCGAGCGTGGCTAAGTGAAAAGTTCAGTGAAACGCGAGGATGGCCGTTTTCCCTCTTTCTCTCTCCCTCTCTCTCTCTCTCTTTCTCCCCTTCGTCTTTCCTTCTTTTTATCACCGAATAAGGGGAGTCTCCGGGGTTATCTAGACTAGTGCGTGGTGGATCGAGCACGAACGAGAACGACAGGAAAGGAATGAAATGAGACAGGGAGGACCCGAGCGGTGCTTTCTGCTGTTTACTTTAGCAACTGGATCTAAATTTCTGTTTATAACTACAACTTCTTCGGCCGTCTTAAAAGATTATTTTCCGCCCCTACTTTGTAGGGTTCAACCTGGTTACCGCCTCAGTCCTCGGTGCCTGTCGTTCTGTCTTATGGAAACGTTCTTCGAGCTTTCGCCGTGATTAAGCACTATACGCTTCCTACTCCCTTTCCCAGAATATACTGAGAATGAAACGTCGTTGAAGATCGTAAGTCGCACGTCACGGCAAAATTCGGCAAACTCGAGTCGCGCCGAGTGCAGTCATCTGCTGTTTGAATATTCATTACCACTGCTGTGCGTTTCTCCCCTCCTTTCTCTCTTTCTCTTCTCTCTCTCTCTCTCTCTCCTCTCTTTCTACTTATCATTATTTAATTATTTGCATCAAAACGCGACACACTTTTCAGGTGAACATTGGATTTATGAAAATGTCAGGATTTCAGCGAGTTTCCGCTTAACAAATTAGATTCGCAAATTAATTAAAATCAAAAACTATCATAAAATGTCACATTTACATCACTTATTTATATTGCAATTATTTATATCGCAATTATTATGAGTGAAACTTTAATTATACTTTAATTATTTTCAGTTACGTTGATTTAACTGTTCTTCGATTGTTTTCAATATGTTTATTACGGCTTAGTTGTCGCGACGATGGTGAATCTCTGTTTTCACGGAATAACACAAATATATTGAATCGATGTAATCTGTCAACGGTAAATTTCTATCGAAACGTTCGTTTGTCGATGAACAGCGTTATATATCACGATATATATATTGTTCATCCTTCTCGCTTTGCTAAAAATTAAATAAAATAAAAAAAGGAAAACAAAAAGAGAGAAGATATTGGTCGGTTTCGTTACCGCGAGAGGAGATGAATCTCGCTATTAGAATCGTCCCTCGAGCGATTATATTAGTAATTGTTGCCAAATACAGACAATAGATAACGACGTATATTCGGTTGCCCTTGTTCATCGCATCTCGCGTTTCGGCTGAAATATATATGTATGTATATTATATATATATATTATATATCTACATATATCGAAATATACAAAACCGAGGGAATATTGCCGTATGCAGATTCGATGGGAATTGCATTCACGCTGCGTATCGATCAAACGCATTGCGGCGTATAAATTGAATATCGAGAAGATCGGCTTATCCTTAACAATACATTCGGCGTCGCGCCCTCGAAGATTCCTCCCGCCGGATGCGAATCCAGCGTTTTAATTTAATTGTAAATAACGCTTACGAAGAAGGAGTGAAATCGATCTGTCGCGATCAGTATGGGTAGCAAAGTGAGCGGGAATATTTTTTCTCTTTTTTTCTTCGTCTTTTTTCCTTCCTTTTTTTTATTTTTAAATCGTTTGAAACTCGTGGCGAATTTTGATCCGATTCATGGCTGCGACATATAAAGCACACGAGGCGAGTATAATACGAGCATTAAATGTCAAGCGATCTTTTGCCAGTTGGAGAACAAAGCGCGAATGGCAGCGGAAGATAAAGAGAGACAGAGACAGAGAGAGAGAGGCAGGGAGAGATCGTGTTTTTATTTAAAATTAAAAACTCGCTTGTTAAAATGATCGGACGACGTTCCCGGTTGTAAGTGACAGGCTGACACGTGACATTCCGGCAGGGACCTTTTTTGCGCGAGCGAACGTGCGTAATTCGCGTAGTTATCAAAACGCCGAAAACAGAGATATCATACCGGTACCATAATCGACGAGCGCGTTCGCTCACGTATCTCCGACTCTCCTCTCATAATGACGAGCTACATTTCTACCGAATTTTCGAAAATTACGATACCGTTGTAATCGAGCCCACCCGCAGGGCGCGCGCGATCTCTGTTCTGCTGCTCGTTATCTTTATAACACACAGTTACTCATGTCTATCCGTGCTAGAAAATTGTCCAGGATTTGTGCGACACGCGCGTATACGGGATATGTCCCGGACGGATCTAATCTTCATAAAACGAGGTGCGCGGTGCCTACAGCTGCAGCATGACACGAGATCTGAAAACGGAAGCCGCACGAATTCTCTCTCTCTCTCTCTCTCTCTCTCTCTCTCTCTCTCTCTCTCTCTCTCGCCTAATTCGGTTGCTCTCGGCGCCGTCTTGTAAAAACAACGCCATGTGCCGCGTAATTAAGCGGCGCGCGATGTTAACGTTGCTGTAATAAAAATGGGAATTTAATATCGCGCTCATCATTTTCGAGTTTGCTGCCGTGGTATTATCTAAACGGAGATCGATCGGTAATGCTACCGCTGCGTGTAAATAAGTTTTCGAGTAAGTCACGCGAATATCTACGCACAAATGAACGTGCCCGTCATCACAAAAATATTAATACAAAATATGGTATTACTGTAATGTTGGTTCTTTTAATTTATACAAAAATTAATTAAGGGATGGATTTAAATATCGAACGAGACTTTATTGTGTAGTTAAATACAATTATTGGTATAGATGTAATGTTTCCAAAAGACAGAATTCCAGAAAAGACAAACCATCGTCTAGACCGTTTTTGATTGGCGTATTCGCATAATGGCGGTACCAATCAAAGTAGCAACGTACACTGTTAGAAATATTTGTAAATTTACAATACCTCTACAATAGAACTGTGCAGTAAATTTACAGTACGTTACAAATCATGTTTTACTGCGATTTCGCAGTATTTGCAAATTTATAATAGAAATTTGCTGTAAATTTACAAAACTGGCGTGTCGCGGATGCGCATTGGAGATCTGCTCATATCTCGAGGTCCTGATTCTCGGGCCTTGTTTCGCCACCATTGTTTTCGCTATTAGCGTGCTGCGTAGTCGTCGTCCAGTTACCAACATTCTACGCCTATTTTTAGAGATTCGTAGTATATAACTGTGATTTTTATAACCTGCCAAAAACAGTAACTGCATACAGTGCGAGCTGTGAAAGCTGTTAAAAAGAAGATTGACTGACAGTTCAGATACGTTTGCGATTCAGTGCTCTTTTGTGTTTAGAAGGCCTCTGAACTTTTAACATTTATAAAAACTGTAAGGGTCAAAGATAAATAGAACAGATTACACTATCTATGTATAAAATTAGTCAACAAAAATGAAAAAGATAGAGGACGCGAAGACGACTAGTCTCCATGTCTTTCTATTTAACACAATATGTTAGAAAGAGAAGGAAATTGAACGTCTTTACGCTCCTTCTCTCTCATTTTTGTTGACTACATGTCTGTTCAAATCACTCCGTTTTATCGTAATTTATGCAGTTGTAATTTTACAACGTATATTGTGTTTTTACAACAAAATATTATCGCAGTTTCCTACGTATAGATGCACTTTAAATTTACAGTACATTTTGGTACATTCAAGATACAATACATATCACACATGGACATGCAGTTTACATTTATGCTATTACGCCATTTGTGTGTATGACTAGATTCCTTCTAGGAATACTAGGTATAGACGTATTTACATTGAATTACAAATGTGGTGTCTGCTCACGTTCTACAAATCTACATAGTTGTGGCCTCGCGACAGTTGTTTTTAGTCATTGCGATGTCTGAACGAATAGTACCGAATGTCAGTGTTGAAGTTCATGTGTTGATCGCAAGTTTCTTGCGAATAAAAATGTTACAGCTGTCGAAATTTTGTGTAAATCGTGTTTACAGTTCGGAGAAGAGACGTTATTGAAGGTGCAAGTGCGTAATGGCACGTGGTATTATTTTGTCTGAGCATCGCAACGACTACGGAAACAACTACCGCGAGGCCACAACCATGTAGGGCGTGAGCAGACACTCCCACCTGTCACTCAATGTAAATACGTCTGCCAACATTGATTTGTATTCACACAAAAAAATCTCGTCCATTTGAACCACCCATGTAGAAGCAAGTAACCTTTGTTATACAGTATCTTTCAATTATAGCCTTTTCCTTTCGTCTCTATAAATTCTGTCCCATCGTATAGTCAAACAAACGTGTGCCTATATCGGAAGAAATCATGTAACGAGCCGCGCGATTATACATTGTCTCGAGCACTCTATTACATGCAATTTACAAGCAAGTCTAAATCTTCTTCACGCGGGGAATGTATCCGCGTTATCTATAATTTATGACAATGCCGGTGAGAAAATTTTACGACTCGTCCGCGCCCGGGATTTATTGCCAATTACTCGACTTCGTGCCTAGAATTGAGGGTC